AAGAAAGAAAGAAAGAAAGAAAGAAAGAAAGAAAGAAAGAAAGAAAGGAAGGAAGGAAGGAAGGAAGGAAGGAAGGAAGAAAGAAAGAAAGAAAGAGAAAAAGAAAAACCACAAGCAAACTGACTGACAAGATGGCTAAGTGGGTAAAAGTACTTGTTGCAAGACTGAGTTTGAGTGGAACCCACATGGTAAGAGAGAACTGAGTTCCACAAGCTGTCTCCTAACCTCTTCATTTGCATCATGCCATATACACCCCCCACACACACATACCAAATAAATGTGATTTTTAAAAATTATGTATATGGATATTTTGCCTGTTTGTATGTCTATCTGTACAGCACTTGTGTGCCTGGTGCCTTGAAAGCCAATAGAGGGCACCAAAACTCCTGGAACTACAGTGAGTTGATTGTGAGCCATCTGAGGATTCACCTGCACCGTGCACGCTCCAACTTCCCGCGCAAACACAACCACTACTCACAGACAGCTCTATCCCAACAAACACCAACCAAGAGTCCGTCCCTTCCCCTGAGCCCTCCCCGCATCATGCATGCACGCCTACAACTCCCAGCGGGTCCAGGGACTTGGCGCTGTGCTTTCTGGGACTTGTAGTCCAGGTGACGCACCCTGCGGCCGTGCGCCTGAGCTAGGCATGTTGGGAGTTGTGGTCCCTGGGCATGAAGGCGCCTGTGTGTTCGTCATCAGAGTACCTCCGGAATTGTCTGCTGGGACTTCTGGAGAACCGGTGAGAACTAGAGCCGTGGCACTGAGGGCTGAGAGCTGCGAACGCCCACGCCGAAGCTGACGGCCCGTGAGTAAGGACCGGCAGAGTGTGGGATGGCTGACGCGTGTAAGACCGACAAACAAAAAGTGGGACTGACCGACCGGTCGTATGTGCCCGGCAGGTTGTGCTGTGTCTAAAACATCTTGTCCTTGTATATGACGTCGAGTGACTAACTGATGAAGCGACTGAAAGAAATAGTTCTTTGATGGTCTTTGTAGGTGGGGCTTGAGACGGAGCCAGTGAGTTTGTGACTGAGTTCAAGTGTGAGTGAAACCCTGTGTCTTGAAATGCTGACTAAAATGTTTCTCCTGCCTGCCAAGCACTGGGTGTACACAGACACACCAATACTTGAACTGCTTTTATTCCACCATAAAGTATGTATTAACTGAGCCCGGTGTGTCGCACATGTTCTTTTCGAAGCTATGTAGACCAGGTTGGCTTCAATCTCAGAGATCTGCTTGCCTCTCCCTCCTAAATGCTGGGATTAAAGACCGTGCCACCATGCCTGCCTTATTTGTTTTTAATAATTTTGTAGGTATATGTGCATGTGTGGATGTGGGTATGGCATGGGATGAGCCTGGAAGTCAGAGGACAACTTCTGAAAGCTGGCTGGCCCTCTCTGTCTCTCTCCTTGTTTCTGCCGCACTGCATACTCCAGACTAGCTGGCCCACAAACTTCCTGGTGATTCTCTGGTCTCTGCCTCCCATCCTGCCATAGAAGTGCTGGGATTACAGATGTGTTCTCCTACATCCACCTTTTTGGAAGCCAGCACAGCAGGCTTCCATGGTGAGTACCTTTACCTGCTGAGCCATCTCTTTGCCCCCCCCCCTCCCTTTTGTCTTGTTAGGTAGCTCAGACAGCCTTCAGAGTTGCAATCCTCCTGCTTCATCCTCCCAAGTGCTGGAATTACAGGCATGTGCCACCATGCCTGTACTGAAAAGTCCCTAACCCTTAAGGTGTGGACACTGCAGTGATAGCAGGTGGATAATAAACAAATAGTCATACAATTGTGCTATCCACCAAATGGTAGAGAGTAGTAAGAAATAAAGCAGGGTAGGGGCAGAACCTCTGCAGAGTTGTCTTTTGTGTAGAGGCCTGCCATACAGAAGGGCGAGAATTCCTAATAAGGACAAGGTATTTGCCCAGGACTGAAAAGAAATAAATAAAAAAGCCAGCATTATTGAGATTCTCATAATCAAAAGCCACCATTTAGTTATTTATTTACTGCTAAAAGAGTCTTGCTCTCTAGCCCAGTATAGCCTTGAACTCTAAATCTTCATGCCTTGGCCTTCTGAGTGGTGAGATTATAGGTATGTGTCACCATACCTGGCTAAACGTTTTTCTATCTATCTGTCTGTCTGTCTGTCTATCTATTTTTGAGGCAAATTCTCACTATGTAGTACTGAATGGCCTAGAACTCAAAGTTATGCCTGCCCCTGCCACCATAGTCCTGAAATGAAAAGTATGTGCCACCACACCCAGCCTAAAACTCACCATTTCAAAGTATACAATTCAGTAACTTTTAGTAAACCGCACCCCTAGTCATAAGCAGCAGAGTTCCAAATAAGCCCTGAATTATAAAGAACCACAGCAAAAATTAGAAAATATTTTAAACTAAATTATAATGAAGTAGGCTATGGTGGTATATGCTTGTAATCTCAGCACCCAGGAGGCTAAGGCATAAAGATTTCTATATCAAGGCTATCCTGGGCTTCATAAGAGATTCTGCCTCAAATAAATAAAAATGTAAATAGAACTGAACAAAATTGTGATATACAATTAGAGCTGTTTAGAAGAAAATGTACAGCTTTAAACATGTTGATTTTAGACTTTTTTTTTCGGTTTTTTCAAGACAGGATTTCTCTGTAGCTTTGGAGCCTGTCCTGGAACTAGCTCTTTTAGACCAGCCTGGCTTCGAACTCACAGAGATCCACCTGACTCTGTTTCCCGAGTGCTGGGATTAAAGGCGTGCGCCACCACCACCCGGCTGACATTTTTTTTCATGTCAGGGTTTCTCTGTGTAGCCCTGACTGTCCTGGAACTTGCTCTGTAGACTGGGCTGGCCTTGAACTCACAGAGATCTACCTACCTCTGCCTCCCAAGTGCTGGGATTAAAGGCACGCCCCACCACCACCCAGCTGATCTCAAACTTTTATATTTATTTCTTTATGTGCATGCATACTACAGCACAACACTTTGGGGGGCATTTTTTACTGATTTTTATTGAGCTCTACATTTTTCTCTGCTCCCCCTGCCTCTCCCCTCCCCCCTTCAACCCTCTCCCAAAGTCCCCATGCTTCCAATTTACTCAGGAGATCTTGTCTTTTTCTACTTTCTACTTCCCATGTAGATTAGATCTATGTAAGTCTCTCTTACAGTACAAAACTCTTAATAGTCAGGTTCTTCCTTCTACCATATAGGTCCTAGGTATCAAACGTATGTCATCAGGTTTGGCAGCAAATGCCTTTACCTGATAAGCCATCTCAATAGCCCAAATACACACATCTGAAAAGAAGCAAGGTAGTCAGGCATAGTAGAACATGCACTGGGGATGAAGCAGGAGGATGGTAAACTGGAGGCCAGTCTCATTACATAGTTCCACAGGGAAACAGCAGATAAAGTGAATAATTCACCATGTGCTTATCAAGTCAAAAGATAGGAAAATGGGCAATGTATAAGAGACAGGAGACATGGCTCTGTGGCTAGCCATGGATTTGCTTGTATTTGCAGCTCACTTTCTTGCTAATCCTTCCCTAGCTGGAAGACTTTTCTGTCTTCACCTGAAATAGGAATATATCTTATGTCCCTTGAGTTTGTTATAGTGTGTGTGTGTGTGTGTGTACTTCACGTGAAGGCCAGAGGTTGACATCAGGATTCTGCCTCTATCACTTTCCACCTCTGCTGCTGCTACTGTTGTTTTGAGACCAGATCTCTCAATCTACAGCTAGCCAGTGAGCCCTGGGGATCTGCCTGTCTCTGCTTCCCTCTGTGCTAGGGTTATGGACCTGCACAGCCATGCTTGGCTTCTTATAGTGCTGGGTATCCAAACCCAGGCCATGCTTACTCAGCAAGCACTTTACCAACTGAGCCATCTCCTTAGCTCTGTTGAAGTTACTTTATTCTTTGGTTTTATGATCTTGTTTTTCTGTGTATGGGTGTTTTGCCTACATGTATGTCTGTGTACTAGATGCATGCCTAATGAAAACCAGAAGAAGGTGTCAGACAACCTAGGACTGAAATTGCAGACAGTTGTGAGCCACTAAGTGGGTGCTAAGCCATCTCTTCGGCCTCTAAGGAGATTTTTTATTTTCACATGTGGTACTCAATCAAATGACAATATACAACAGTCAGTTCTCTTCCTCCACTCATGTGGTTCCTGCACCCTCACCTGTGGAGCCATCCCATTGCCTGCTCCCCTTTTTTTTAACTGTATTGGATTTGTTATTTGATAACAATTTCATACAACATGCATTCTCATTACTATAACCCCCCAGCCTTCCTCCCACCCATTATCCTCCTCCTTACAGACCTTCCCACATTCATAACTGTTTTGATTTTGAGACCCATCAAATTTAACCAAGACCATTGTAATTATGGGTTTGAAATTTTCTGCTGGAGCTTAATGCATTCCTCCATGTTGTATATTTTGTTTTGATTCTTTTGTTTGTTTTGTTTTGTTGGTATGAGTGCTCTATCTACATGTATGCCTACATACCAGTATGTCTACAGCATCAGAGTCCATTACAGATGACTGTGAGCCACCATATGGTTACTGGGAATTGAACTCGGGAGCTCTGGCAGAGCAGCCAGTGCTCTTAACCACTGAGCCATCTCTCCAGCCCCTGTTGTATATTCTGAATGCATGGGACCACTGAGCATTGTCCTCAGCTCTGAACGGACACTACCATGATCATTACATTCATCTTTTTTTTTCCCCCTGAGGCTTTTATTTCAAGTTGACTTTTTTATTGATATTATTGAGCTATAATTTTTCTCTGCTCCCTTACCTTCCTCTCCCCTTCCCTTCTACCCTTTCCCATGGTCTCCATGCACCCATTTTACTCAGGAGATCTTGTCTTTTTTTCTACTTCCCATGTAGATTCGATCCATGTATGTCTCTCTTAGGGTCCTCATTGTACATTCATCTTTTCCCATGTGAGGATAAGTGCTTGGTGGCAAGCACCTTTTCCTGATAATCCATCTCACTGACCCAAATACATACATCTAAAAAGAAGCAAGTAGTAGGCATGGTAGTGCATGCACAGAGGAGGATGAGGCAGGAAGATGGTGAATTGGAGACCAGTCTGGCTACCTCAAACCTGCATCTCCTCTCCCTCTTTTCAGATGGTGAAGCTCTAACATCTCTACAGACCCAGTTCTGAGGCTCCAGCCATCTCGTGTCTCACTGAGTTCATCTGCCCCATGGCCATCCCCAAGTGCCCTCTGAGCCCAGTACTCTGGGAACAGGACAGCTTCCTTCAGGTGAAGGTGAAAGAGGAGGAAGAAGCTAGCCTCTGCCAGAGCCAGGGATGCAGCCCTAGCCCTATTGCCCATCCTGAGGCTGCACGCCTGCGCTTCCGGCACTTCCGTTATGAGGAGGCATCCAGCCCCCATCAGGCGCTGGCACAACTGCGAGAGCTGTGTTGCCAGTGGCTGAGGCCAGAGTCGTCCTCCAAAGAGCAGATGCTGGAGCTGCTGGTGCTGGAGCAGTTCCTGGGCGCACTGCCCCCTGAGATCCAGGCCTGGGTCGGGGCTCAGTGCCCAAAGAGTGGAAAGGAGGCTGCCATTCTGGTGGAGGATCTGACTCAGTTGCTGGACAAGAGCGGTAAGGAGGAGCAGCAGGTAAAGAGGTAGTCGGCCACAGAGAGCATTGGCACAGCCTGGCTGGAATGTAGGTCAAGCTAGCTCTAGTTACAGATTGCTGCTGGGGTGCTCGTTCTCACCTTTGTACCTTAGCCATGGGTACACGTGACCACATCCCACGCAGTTAGGAGTAAGGGGCTTAGACACATCGGTATCCAGAAGATACACTCAGGGAGCCTTGATACTCGGCCTGCTTGCTCTCACCTACTCTCACATTCCATATCTCCTTTAGGTCTGGCTTTCTCTGTGTTGCTTTGGAACTTATCCTGGGACTTGCTCTGTAGAACAGACTGGACTTGAACTCACAGAGACTCCTGCCTCTGCCTCCTAAGTGCTGGGATTAAAGGTGTGCACCACCAGCGGCCCAGCGAGGGTATCAGATCTTGGAGTTACAGACAGGTACGAGCTGCCATGTGGGTGCTGGGAATTGAACCCGGGTTCTCTGGAGGAGCAGCCAGTGCTCTTAACCGCTCTCCAGCCCTTATTTAAAAAAAAAAAAAAAAAAAGACGAGGTCTTTTGTACCAAAGCTAACCTCAAATTTGCTACATAGAAGACCTTGATCTTCTGATCCTCCTGCCTCCACTTCCCAAATGCTGGGATTACAGGCACGTGCTACCACACCCAGCTTCAGATGCTGGTGCTAGGGATATAGGTAAGCACTCTGCCAGCTGAGCTATATCCCTAGCTTATCACCATCTCCCCAAAGGTTCCTGGCTTATTACTCAAGTAGACAGGGGGAAAACAGCAAGCAATGTCTAGTGTGAGCCAATCAGATCTGTGTTTGCCTTTGGACAGTCAAATCCCAGGAATTCAGTGAGCCTGGGGCTCTTCCCCAAAGGAAGTGTGGCTCCTTGCCCAGAAGAAATGACTGAATGCCTTGAGTGAGAGGGAGGGGGAGAGAAGTAAGTATCCCTGTGTATCCTCTTGTGGCCTTCCCTGTGCTGGCCTACGGGATCTGGGGGATGGATAGATGGCCCTGACTGGAGTGGGTACTTGTCATTCAAGGAGATTCACACATCTATTCCCTGCCCAGAGATGTCTGGTAGGATGCAAGGGCCCAAGCGCTGTACAGTCTAGTCCAGGACTTCCAGAGCAAGTCCATGTCCCTCAGAATCTCTACTACCATCTTATGATTTTACTCACTTATTCATTTATTAAGACAGGGTCTTACTATGTAGCTCTTGGCTTGGAACTATGATGTAGTACTATCTTGGAACAAGCTCTAGAAACCAGCTGGTCTTGAACTCAGAGATCCTTCCGGCTCTGTCTCCTGACCATGCATAACCCTGTGATCGTGTACCTGGAGCTCAGCACCTCCCCTGGGCCTCAATCTCTTCATCTACAGTGAAACCACTAAGTACCTCCTTCTGGAAAGGATGAGGCAGTGAAAGTTACACAGTGCACTTGGAGTCATAAGCCAGCGGCCCAGGCAAGCAAGCACTATCACATAATGAGGTCCAGATGATGGCAGTGCTAAACTTAAGGATTGACAACTTGGCACCTCAAAGTCTGGGGTTGGAGCCCTGTTTCTAAGTCTACTCAGCCCAAGGATAGACTGGAAGGCCAGCTATTGCATACTTCTCTGACTCATCCTTGGGACTCATCTGTAAACACTGCCAGATGAAGTATCCTCAGGTACCCTTTGCTCCCGTGGAGAGCAGGTCAGTGCAGGTGCGTCTCTCCCTCCTGTTTACTCAAATCAGGGAGTTTCAGAAGCAAACCAGATATCTACCTAGAGTTCTGCTGTGAGAAGTGGCAGTCACAGGCATCTGGCTTGATTCTCATTCAGCCACTGTTCCCAAAGACGGCCTCTGAGTTTAAGGGACAGCGCCTGGACTCAGAACTTGGCCCTGCCCCAGATTGCCAGGAGCTGATGCACAGGTACCTGACAAGGCCCAGCTTCCTCCACTCTTGTTTTTCAGATCTTATCCACATGTAAGTTTGCCTTTGGGCATTTTAATCAGATCAGGAGCCTTGGCAAGACAGATGGCTTGATTGGGTGAGGAAAAAATCAGAACCATGATGCAGTTTAGGGTAGTATAAGAGGACAGTCCTGGATCCTTTTTCTTACCCAAGACACCAAAGGGGAAGCTTCCCCTTGGAAATGGGACCATGTGACAAATGTGTGGACAGGGCCTCAAACAGATAGAGAGGCTTGTGTGGTGACTGGTAGCAGGGGAAGTAACAGTATGATTTGCATGATTCCAGGGTGGGAACCCGGAGTGCAACACGAAGAGGCAAGTTGTAAACAGAGCAGCACAGACGAGTTACACCCACCAGACATAGCCACTGAAACACCCGCAGGAGTCATTTCCCCCAAATCCACCTTTGCCCACACATGTAAACCTGAGAGCAGCTCTGAGAGCCAGCCAGAGCTCCTAGGAGCACTCTGGATGAAGTCTGCTGCCCAAGAGATGGGTTTCAGAAAAGACCTGGGGTCTCACATGGGTGCCCCCAAAGACCAGCCTGGCTATGAGTCTGATGTCTCAGGAAACAGTTCCAACATGTGGCCCAGCTTCCCTTCCCAAGACAAGGCTTCTTCAGAGGAGAAACTTGGCACGCTGTATGACTATGGGACAGTGCCTCCAGATACACACTCAGGAAAGAAGCCCTCCACGTATGGTGAATGTGTGAGAACATTCCAGAATACTTCAGCTCTGGAGGCCCACCAGAAGAGCCACTCTCAGAAGATGCCCTATGCCTGTGTCGAGTGTGGGAAGGCTTTCAGTCGGAGCACCCACCTTGCCCAACACCAGGTTGTCCACACAGGAGCAAAGCCCCATGCATGCAAAGAGTGTGGGAAAGCCTTCAGGCGGGTCACCCACCTGACGCAGCACCAGAGGATTCATACTGGGGAGAAGCCCTATAAGTGTGAGGAGTGTGGCAAAACCTTCAGCCGCAGCACCCACCTCACCCAGCATCAGCGGGTACACACCGGGGAGCGGCCTTATGAGTGTGATCTGTGCGGCAAGGCCTTCAGCCAGAGCACCCACCTGACACAGCACCAGCGCATCCACACTGGGGAGAAGCCCTACAGGTGTGACGTGTGTGGGAGAGCCTTCAGTGACTGCTCGGCTCTGGTCCGGCACCTGAGAATCCACTCTGGAGAGAAGCCCTATCGGTGTAAGGACTGCCCAAAGGCCTTCGCGCAGAGCTCCTCCCTCATTGAGCACCAGCGCACGCACACGGGAGAGAAGCCGTACAAGTGCAGTGACTGTGGGAAGACCTTCAGCCGCAGCTCAGCTCTCATGGTCCACCTAAAGATCCACGTCACTGTGCTCCAGTGACTGGAAACACCACAGCACAGCCTCCCTCAGAGAACCCTGAATTCCACAGGAGCCAGGAACCCCACTGGTGGATAACTGTGTCACCCAGTGTCTAAGGGCAGACTGGGGCCATCTGGGTACACCTCTACATTTGAGGTCCCAGGTGAACCCCCTAATGAACATAGAGATTCAGACTAATCGGTGAAACTTCTAGAAGCTCCTACTGCCCTCTCTCTCCCACTCAGGCTGGTCCCAGAGAAAAGATACCTGAGCTAAAGATGTGCGTTGCTCAGATGACCTCTAGGTGATCCTCTAGGTAGGAAGGCCCAAGCTTCACATTCTCACATGGCTACTGTTCTTGCCAGTTCCTTTGCTGTTCAGCCTAGAAAGGATGCCTGCCAGGCTCACTCCATGCCTTCCTCCCTGCTTCCCCACCACATTAGTGTATACTAACGCCGAGACACTTGTGAGGCCGTCTGCGGTGTGGCCTTCTCCATGCCATCCCACTCGTGCTTTCCCTGTCTGCAGCTACCATGCTGCTTGACACTTGCCCACTCTCGTCCTGTCCTCCCACGTCTCAGGCTCCAGCCCTGTGGATTCACCTCGGGCTCATCTCTAATCTAGCCCCTCCTCCAGCATCACCTTCCGTGAGCTCTCATGGCCCCCACTGGATTTTTATCAGGGCTCTTCTTTCTCACTCCTTCCGGCCTTAATTCCATCCCCACCCACTTTCTTCCTGCTGCGGCTCTTTTTGCTACCCAGTCATATTGTGTCACTCCAGGGGAGGAAGTTGCCCGGTGAGTCACCTTTCCAGCAAACTTTGGTGAATGAGGTACAAGTATGCCAGGATACATGTCACTTCGGCCCAAGCAATTGTTCTAGTTACCCTCAACTGTGTATATGAATGTTTGTCTTGGTTGCACAGTGATGTAAAAGTGGTTTCAAAGTACTAGTCTGCCTGTTGGGCAAACTACACTCCTTGCCTTGTCTGTTTGCTCCAGACCTGGCCTCCTCTCGCACCTTCCACTCCTGTAGCCTTACCTCCCAATGCCAGCCAACTCTCTCCCACCTGTGTGCCTCTCTGCCTGTCCCTGGAACTCGGAAGCCCTCGGTCCTCTGATATCGCAGGTGTCCTTGAGGAGCTTCCCCAGCCATTCTGACCTGACCCTCCTTGCTGCTGTGGGGCCCCATTCACCGCTGTCTCAAACCTCTCACCATGTCACGGTACTTGTGCTTCTTACAGAATGCACAGACCAGCGCTCCCAAGGACACAAAATAGTTCATGCTGTGGACAGGGCACAAGATGCACAGACCCTTCCCAGGGTCTCCAGGAGTGTGACCAATACATCCCTTGGATAGTTACTGTCCTCCACCTGGAGCCCCTGTGCGCACATAAGCCTGGCTGCAGTAGTCAAAACAAAACATGGCTATACTGAGTCTTCCTTAAACCCTGGGTGCCATAGACTTAGGGGATGCCAGCACTCTGCCAGTCCTAAAATCATAACCTATTTACTCTGCCTGACTTCCTTAACCTCAGAAAGAGGATCCCCTGGCTCTTGTGCCTCTTGACAAACACGGATGACTTCACAAGGTCCTCAGTCATGGATCTACGTGAGATACGGTATCTAAACCCATTGGCATAATACACTTTGTTTTCCTGAGCCTCCCATGTCTCCTCTTGTGGCCTCACCTGACTATCACACACAAGAACAGAGACCACCAGGAGAGTTGCAAACTGGAGAATTTCAATAAAAGTACTGAAATTCCTACCACGTGGGTGGAAGCTGCATACAGGTTGGGCTGCTCCAACAATTGCTTCTGTGTGGCCAGTGGGGGATCCTCTGAGCAAAGGTCACACTACAGGCCCGCAGGCACTGGCTACTCCACGGAGGGTTTAGATGCAGGGCATTTAGATAGGACTGAGAACCCGCCCCCAGTTTGCAGGGTTCCTGGTCCCTGTGTATGTGGTACAGCTGTGCCCTGGGGTGGAAACAATGCGTGAATACAAAGTTCACACACACAGGCCTTCTCTTCACAAGATGTCTATGATACTGAAATGGACAGTTCAGGCCAGACAGGCTGGCACCCACCGGGCTCTGATCTCTAGAATACAAAGCTGCCAGGTCTTTAGGCCCAAGCTCTCAGACCCAGGGCCAAGAGCTGTAACGCAGACTGCTGTGGAGAGTTAAGGAATCCTAATACCTAAGATTGCCTGTTACCCACAATGCCCATTGCCACTGAGAGCTGAAGAATCCAGACATGTAGGCCAACACGAGAGCTCTACCACTAGTGAGGAGGCCAGGACTGGAGATACTCAATGTCTGCACAAGGATTATAACACTAGGGGGCGCCCTCTGCTGCTGTTCTCTGCGCGGCTTGAGCAGAGGTGGCAGGCAAGCACCAAGGGAAACCAATGCTACCAAGATCAGCACATGAATAGTCTACTAGCCTAACCACGATTCTGCCTGGGTAAAACAGAAGCACCACAGATGGCTGATGGTTAACACAAAACTGCCTAGTCCCAGGCAATCCCACCTCTCTAGGTCACAGATCAACCTTAACCCAATCGACAGTTCCCAAGCTCAAGCCTAGGTTGTCTGTCTCACTGTATACTAACAGTGACAAGGGCTACATAGGACACCACAGGACTTGATTGTCCTTTTTTTGCAGGCCTGAGTCCCTTCTGCACCTGTAGTGTCTTTTCAATGGTCCCTTCGTGGGCACTCGGAACTAGGGAGTCAGACCCTGCCTTTATAGGAAAATGCCGGCAAGAAACAAAGGAGAACATTTAACAAAGAAAATTACTTAAAGGACCTGAGAGGTGCACTAGAATTTGCAGGAAGGGAGATAATGGGTTCCTCCAGCCTCTTTGAAATGAGGACATTGTAGTTGAATCTGAAGCAGAAAGAAAATGCCTTAAGGCGCCAGGGAAAGAGCAAGTGCAAAGTCCAGGTGAAGCCGTGAGGACAGGGGATCCCGAAGTTGGCCACCACGGCCAGGCGAGTAATAGGCCTGGCACTTCCCTTCATGAATTACCGTCTCCCAGTCACAGTGGATTGCAGGAACTCATCTGTACAAGGGGCAAGACCGGAGCAAAAGATTGGGACCGGAAGTGTGCTGTTTCGCGCCTCTACCAACGCTTGGGGAGGGGGTGGCAGACTCATTGTGGGCCCAAAGGTTCCCGTTTTGAAGGCCAGAGCAGCAGGACTAAACAGAATGCCACATAATCATGTGGGCTGCCAGCATGGAACCTTACGTGCAGTGGACCACCATCCCTCGGCCTTCAGGGCTTGCGACCTGCGGGGAGGGGAGCAGCGGAAAAACCTGGTGGGAAATGTAGTCCTGTAGACGCCCTACTGTATACTGATTGAGGGAGGAGTTGTACCGTCCTGTATACTGATTGAGGAGGGAGGGGTTGTATGTTGTGGCAACAGTACCAGGCGATTCCCCGACCCCCCCCCCATAAATGAAACAATTACTTGTGTTATCAAGGAGATGGTGACCGCTGAAATGGCATACCAATCCCCTGCCAGGTTCAGGTAAAAGTTAGATTGGAAAGTACTAAAATATCCCAATGAACAGGCCTCCCTCCTTCTGAAACCTGGTCTATAAAAGTAGTGCAGGACACTGAGTATCAAAGTTCCCTTGATAACTATAAGTGCAACCGGTGTAAAGAAGAAGTAAAGCCCCCAAGGCAGTGTGAACCCTATTTGTTCTCCTGGTCTCGGATAGAGTAACCTGGTCGAGCCAACTCCCTTTAGTCAGTTCCCATAATGCCTCCCTCCCCCCATTTAGTCTTTGATTTCTGCCTTCATCCAATTTTGTTATTTTGAGACAAGATCTCATATAGCTCAGGCTGGCCTGGAACTCACTATGTAACCAAGGATAACTTTAAATTTCTGATTCTCCTGCCTTCCAAGTGCTGGAATTACAGGCAATAACTACCACACCTACCTACTTATACCAGAATCTTGAAAACTAATCCTAAAGAGATGGTTCGTGGTTAAAAGCACTGGCTGCTCTTCTAGAGGACCTGAGTTTATTTTGAAACATCCACATGGTGGCCCAAGACCATCCATAACTCCAGTTCCAAGGATCAGTTGCTGCCTTCTGACATTCATGGCCACCAAGCCAGCAAATAAAACATACATGCAGGCAAAATACACACACATATAAAATAATTTCTTTTTGAATTTTTGAGACAGGGTTTCTCTGTGTAGCCTTGGCTATTCTGGAACTTGCTTTGTAGCCCAGGCTAGCCTCGAACTCACAGAGATCTACCTGCCTCTGCCTCCCTGAGTGCTGGGATTAAAGGAGTGAGTCACTACCACCTGGCAAAATAAAAATATTTTTTAAAAAGAATTTTGAAAACTATAAAAAGGAGAGAGACAATTTCAGGAGAAGCTGAAGAAAGTACAGTATGCCAGGTGAATGGAAGTCACCATCCTGAATCTTGTACTTGGTTTCCCCAGTAACACCCACTGTCTTCATCTCAGTGAAGTTCTGCAAGATGGTAGGTCGTTTTATATCACTGTCACGCTCTTCACAACAGCAAACAGGAAACTGCTCATGGGCACTTGGGAGGGGACGGTGTTTGTCTTTTTTTTTTTTCCTGGCATTTTGAAAGTCTCCCTCTTTAGCTTATGCTAGCCTCAAGCTCACCATCCTCCTGCCACAGCCTCCTAAACACTGTGACTAGGCATCTCTAGGGCAGGCTCTGGATGTTGGCTGTTTTATTTTATGGTTTACATTTATTTATTTAGCAGGAGGCAAGGGCATGCACACTAACATGTCCTGGAGCACCCGAAGAGGTAGAGGACAACTGTGAGAGTTGGTTCTCTCCTCCTACCATGTGGGTTCGGGCTATTGAACTCAGGTCATCAGGTCTGGTGCTAAATCATCTTACCATTATCCATCTCTCTTTGGAGCAGGGAAGGCCACAACCATACCATTGTCCCTAGTTTTTAGGTTTGTGACTCAAGCATTTAATGCTAGTCTTACATTTTTAGTATTGTTTACTCCCGTTTCCTGAATAAAAGCAAGTGAAAATATATATATATATCTGTGGTTCTCAACATGGGGACAATTCTATCTTCTAGGCAATTGTCTGTGTCTCGAGATATATAAGGCTGTAGCAATATAACACTACTTGTATTTTGTTTATGGAAGCATCCCGAAATGCACAGGAAAGGTCTAGCCATAAATGCAATGTGCCAAGTTAAAGAAACCCAGTGAGGACCTGGGTTTGGATTATTTGGCAGAATGTTTCCTAGCATACATAAAACCCTAGATCCCACACTTGGAAGAAAAGAAAGCAGGAGACTCAGAAGTTCAAGGTCAGCCTCAGCTTCACAGTGAGTTTGGGACCAGACCAGGCTACCCAACTCTGTCTCAATAAAACCTAAATATAAGTAAGGATAGGGCTGTGGGTATAGATCAGTTGGTAGAGTACTTGCCTACATAAAGTAGAGCATGGTAGCATGTGCCTGTAATTCCAGCACTCAGGAGATAGAGGAAGGAAGATTAGAAGTCAAGATTATTGCTCTATTGGTCTATAAAGTGATAGCCATGCTTTTGACTTCAAATGAGTAAGTTTCTTAACTATATAGCAAAGAAAAGCAAAAGAATCATTGAGTGTTAGGCTTCAAACTCAGGACAAATGGCTATTAAACATACCAAAGTAGATTCTAGTCGCAGGTTCTCCTAGCATCTCTCAGTACCTGTTATAGAGTCACCCTGGCTAGCATACCCAGCCTCCTACACTAAACTTTCTAGCCCAGAAAATGATCTGGACTTCCCTTCCCCCAGCTTCCCTGATTCCTATAAAATCTCAGCCATTTTGTCCCCTGGCCCTTTTATCTTTGTGCTCTTGGTCTCTGGGTTCCCAAGTACTCTCTTTGCTCTCTCTTCTCCCTCCCCCTACCTCCTCGCATGTCCCAGTTTAGTCTGGACCCTTCCAGATGCCTCTGGTTGTTTTCTCCCTCATATCTACAATGAAGTCCTTCTCCTCAACCATACCTAGGAGTGATCACATCCTCATTTTTTTTTTTTGTTTCATTCATCTGGTGCTAAAACCCAGACATGGCATAGATGAGATCTCTTCCATGGGACTCAGCTTCTCTGAACCAAGCTTCTGATCTGACTCCTCTAAGGCAAGTACATATCACTTGTTTCTGCTGGCTTCTGCCACAACTATATTTGACTCCAAATCCTAGATAGAGTCTGCCTCTTTAGCTGCTTCTTGCCTCCACCTGCTCTAACCATTTGCCTTTCCTTGCCTATTTGTGTTAGTAAAGTGTCAGGCTGGAGAGATGGCTCAGAGGTTAAGAGCACAGGCTGCTCTTCCAGAGGTCCTGAGTTTAATTCCCAGCAACCACATGGTAGCTCACTGTACAATCATCTGTAATGAGATCTAGTGCCCTGTTCTGATGTGCAGGCAGAACACAGTAAAGTAAGTGCCCTCTCTCTAGTCCTGGAATTACCTATGCCCTCTGGGGTGCCCAACATGTGGGCATCTCAAGCCTCCTAAACCCCAAGGTCCCACAATGTGGGCAACTCCTCTATTTACTATGACATTCCTCTCTCCCTTCTTGAATTTGACCAACATTCCACCCTTCCTGCCCCCACCCCAACAATGATGCCCCAATTTCAGCAGGAAGTAGTCATAGAAGAGACTATATTACTCCTTTATCATCAACAAAGGGTTGGAGTGTTAGGTCTCAAAAGAACCTGGACAAGTCTCACTCAGTACCTGTGGTTCCTCCAGCACTTCTCACCCCCACCTTTACCCTAAACCTCTCCCTCCCAGGGGCAGGGCTTCTTCTTCCCTTTCCCCAGTCTGATCCCTATATAATCAGCCAGTTTGGACATGCAGTCTCTTGGTGTTTTTGGTCTCTGGGTTCCAAGTGCTCTTTGTTCCCTCTCTCTTCCCTTCCTCTCTTGCAGCACCCCACCTCCTTTCATGACCCAGTTCACTCTGGACCCTTCCAGGTGCCTCTGGCTGAAATCTCCCCCATATTTACAAGAAGCCTTCTCCACCACACCTAGAAGCAGTCATATCCTCATTTTTTCATTCAGTGAGTAGCAGCAGAGAGAAGCATCAGATAGATAACATCATCAAACTGAGTTCAGAACATCCTGGAGAGGCAACTGAAGTAGCCTGACTGGAAGAGCAATGGAAAGGTAACACCATCAAACCGGAGGTTTACAAACATCCCCAAAACTCAACTAGGGAGTGCCCTGCTGAAACCATTATGCTTGAAATTTCTAACTGAAAAATTCAGAAGAGCAGAGTACTCTCCATGGATACTTTCTGTCTCTCATTCCCATATATGCACATTTTATATCATGGGATAAACACTAATAATGTAGACCGGAAATATTTTACCTTCTGTCTTTTTTGTTTTTCCCTTGTTGTTTTATTTGTTTTGGTTTCTGAGACAGGGTCTTACTATGCACCCCTGCCTGGCCTAGAACTCATCATGTAGACCAGGTTGGCCTCCAACTCAACAAAGATCTTCTGGCATCTGCCTCTGGAGTGCTGGGATTAAAGGCGTGCACCACCACACCTAGTGATACAATATTTTTATTGTTGTTTGTTTTCTTTTTGTTTTTTGAGACAGGGTTTTTCTGTAGCCTTGGCTGTCCTGGAACTTGCTCTGTAGATCAGACTGTCTTCGAACTCACAGAGATCCACCTGCCTCTGCCTCCCGAGTGCTGGGATTAAAAGCATGCACCATCTCCACTCTGAAACCATGTTCTTAATACCTTTACCCTCTTGCTGTTTCTCTCTCTCACCATTACAGACCTAGGAGTACAGCCTGCACCAGGATAGGGCTTTAGAGGAGACATGACATAAACATGCTTGGCCTGAAGTCAAAGGCCATCTTGGCTGTTCTGTCAAGCCCACATCTAAGTGAGCTAAAACAGCACACAGATGGCCAGCAAGATAACAGTGTTTAAAAACACTTGCTGCCAAGCCTAACAACCTGAGTTAAATCCCTAGAATCTACATAATGGAAGGAGAGAACTCAACTCCCCCCAAGTTGTCCTGACCTCCACACATGCCTCCCTATAAACAAATAAAAAAGTAAATATTTAAAAAAAAATCTACATTTTAAGGACTGGAGAGATGGCTCAGAGGTTAAGAACACTGACTGCTTTTCCAGAGGTCCTGAGTTCAATTTCCAACAACCGCATGGTGACTCACAACCATCTGGTGCCCTTTTCTAGCATGTAGGCATATATGCTAGCAGAACACTGTATACATAAAAAAATAAATCTTTAAAAAAAAAAACCTGCATTTTGCCAGGAGGTGGTGGTGCATACCTTTAATCCCAGCACTCGGGAGGCAGAGGCAGGTGAATGAATGTCTTTAAATTCGAGGCCAGATTAGTCTACAGAGTGAGTTCCAGGACAGTCAAGGTTGTTACATGGAGAAACCCTGTCTTGGAAAAACAAAACAAAACAAAAACTGAATTTTAAAAAATTGTATTAAAAAATAGAACGTGACAATTTACCAATATAAGGTACATTAGAGTCACTCTTGGCTACGTATGGATGAGTAGATTCTGCTTCAGAAAAACAACAACCAAAAACAAAGGTGGGTCACTTGCCAGTGATGGAAGTTAACTGAAACATATATATGAACATTTGGTAAATACTTACTGTATATACAGGCACCATCCTATGGGCTGTGGCTATAGCTCTGTGGTAGAGGGTTTGCCTAGCATGCATAAGGCTCTGGATGTCATCCCCAGGACTCAAAATAAGTTAATAAATAAAGATACCACGCATGATCCTGGAGGAACAACTCCCTTCCTGGCCTCCTAGACCCGATTGGGAGAGTCAGCCTCCAACAAAATGAATACTCAGATGACTGAAAAAAATCAAGTATACTTCCAAAGTAGAGGTTCTGGATAGGGCTTGGAAATCAGTCATTAGGGTCCTGCTATGAAACAGACTAAATCCCTCACCCCAAGCCGTGACTACAGCACTCCATCCCTTAAAGTTGGGGCAAAATGGGCTTAGAGAGATGAACCCAGATCAGCAGGGCCTGCAAACAAATCCTGAAGATCTAGAGTTAAGATCTTCAAACACCCCTAGACCGGAGTGCCCAGAGCTCCTGCGGGCTTTACTGGTGGCGGTGATGAAAATGGAACTCAAGACCTTTTGCACACTTGAACAAGTGCTCTACCACCGAGCCATGCCTCGCACTGGTAGATTCTAAGCAGGCATTCCACCACTGAGATTCATCCCCAGCCAATGTTATTCTTCACCCCAATATTCTAGTTGAGTGTGAGGGTGGGACTTGATTCCATTTGCCATCACCACCTCAGTAACAAACATTCCTCCTATCATTTCCCAGTACCGCTGAGCCACCCTGCCATGTGGTCCCAATTTACAGCGAAGGCAACTGAGCAGCCAGTGAGTGCACCTGTGTTGTGTGAACTGTTTCTGGAGAGAGGTGACCAAACATCCACTCACTTCAGTTAGGGCACGTGGCCGTTTGAATGGAACTGGCCCTCATAATCTCTCATAGGGAATGGCACTATTAGGAGGTGTGGCTTTGTTGAACTGGGTATGGCCTTGTTGATGGAAGCTTGTCACTGTGGGGGTGGGCTTTCAGGTTTCCTATGCTCAGAATACTGCCCAGTGAGTCACTCAACTTCCTGTCGCCTGCAAGATGTAGCACTCTCAGCCCTAGCAACACATCTACCTGAACACCTCCATGTTCCCCATCATGATGATAATGGACTGAACCTCTGAAACTGTAAGCGAGCCATCCCAATCAAATGTTTTCCTTTATAAGAGTTTCTGTGATCATGGTGTCTCTTCACAATGAAAACCCTTACTAAAACAGGGTACCACCAACAAAAACAAAGGATTCCACAAAAATAAAAAAAAAGTAGAAGCTTGATAAAGCCATGAGTTTAACTGAAGCATGAGAAAATTATGCTGCTAACTTGAGGAAAATCTTTCTCTTTTAACCAAGCAACCTGTTAACTGTGTATAAATCCTCTAGGAGGAGAGTAGCCTCATAAAGCACTCCTCCCCACCCCGTTTCCTTGGCAGAATCTCCTGGTAATCATAGCTGCTGAGACAGTTTGAGGGCAATGGCCATGTTCTGCCCAGAGGACAGAACGCCACAATTCTCTGCTTTGAAGTCCTTTTCCTATAACAAGTGTGCCTCCCACACATGGGAAGCCAGCTTTGGTTGGGCATGCTGTTTGGCTGCAGGAACAATAAAAGGCCCAGAGCAGTGGGAATGCTCAGCTTGTCTGCCATGAAGTCTACAAAGAAGGAGACAAAACTGTGCTGGAGGAACAAGAGAGATGCCTGTCATTGATTTATTCTGTTTTTAATTTTTTTATTACATCTACTAATCTCTTGTGTGGGTGTATGCTGAACCATCTCACCAAACCCATTTTGCTTGTTTGCATGTCTCTAAGATGTTTTTATTATTGTGGGGAGGAATGCATATTCAACAGCATACATGTGGCAATCAGAGAACCATTTTGGGATAGATATATCTTTCCATCTCACACAGGATGAGTCCAACTAGGAAGGAGTCAATGAATGAGGGGGGCTGACAATCCAGACTGACGGCACAAAGCTGCCAGGAATCTCTCCGAGTGAGGTGGAAGCAAAGGCCAACGAGGGCAGAGGTGGGCTTCTATGGTATTTTAGTTTCCTGTGGCTGGTGGCTTGGAACAACAGCATTTTATTCTCTCAGAGTTCTGAAAGCCAAAAGTTCAAAAATCAAGGTATTGTAGGATCCTGTGCCCCATGGAGGCTGTAGGAAAGGATCTTTTCATACTAATTTCAACTTCTGGTGGTTGGTGGCACAGTCCTTTAATCCCAGCACTCAGGAGAGAGAGGCAAGCAGATCTGTGATTTGGAGGTTAGCCTGGTCTTCATAGTGAGCTCCAGCACAACCAAGGCTACATAAAGAGACCCTATCAAAACAAAAACAAAACAAAACACTAAACCATCTTCTGGTGGCTCCAGATATTCCTTAGTTTGTTGGCTGCATCACTCCAGTCTCTGCTTCTATGGCCACATGGCCTTTGCTCATCCACTCCTTCCTCCTCTTCTCCCCATCTCCTTCTTACTACTAAAATTCCCTCCAAGGGGAAGATGTAAGCTGTGTCTACTCAGTCTGCAATGTTCCAACGGCAAACCAAGGCTCACTCCACCGAACCGAACTTCACTCTGTGGAACCAGTGTGAGTTACTGGGTTTCCTTACAAGGCACAGGTGATGGGTTACTTACAGAGGTGTCGCTACTCTGCTCTCAACATCCCCCACCTGAAAAGTCTTTATCCAGCAGAGAGGATGCTTTCCACATAGCCATAGCTGCATAGACGGAGCCTCCCTCCCCTAGTCTTCCTGGCTTATGGAGTCTTATAGACCTCATGCAATTAAGGCAGAGCTGCATACAACTACTTATGTGAGATCTTATGACTTCCCAACTCTGCATGATGGAGTGTAAACAGTCAAGTCTAGAATGTATAATATTTCTACAAGGGGCTGAGCTCACTCCCCAAATGGTGATTTCTTGGCTCTGAGGATGACCAAGCACAATATCTCCTCCTCCCCAACCCCTTTTCAAGGGATGGTGGTGCTGGGGACCTAACAATTTCTTACTTGGTAGGCAAAGGTTTTGCCTCTTACAAAGGCTGTCATTGGATTTAAGGCCCATCTCAGTAATCCAGACTGATTTCATCATGAGATCCTTACATACATCCTAGTTCAAACAGGTTACATTCACAGTCTGAATATTAGAATAGGAACAGAACTTTCTGGGGAAGGGGAGCACTATTCCACCTACCTTGACAGCAAATGATAGTCAGGCCCGAGTGGAGAGTGATGATGGATTTCTCATGAATGCAAGGCCAAGTTTGGGACTCAGTAGGCCTGGACTGGTCTCTACCAGGGAGATGGACTTATCCAATACCCACACATTTCAAACCAGGTGAAAATCAGCTTAATGACTTAACAAACACCCCTGGTATCATCAGCAAGAGCCATGAGGAGCCATCATAAGATAGAAAACTGTAGGAAGAAGGCAGGAATGTAGCCCTATCCACAGATAAACTACCCAACTGCCCCAACACCTTTCATGAGGGGGGTGTAAAAGGCCCCCAGACCTTAGCACAACTGATTTCATAATGGGAAAACCATTCAAGTCATAAAACTCAGCATACAGACAGTACCACCTGCCAAACCAGAAACAAAGACTTAATCCGTCAAAGTCCATAGGTCCTGGAAAGTCTCAAAATGTACTAACCTTGCTCTTTGGCTTCTGTAGTTCTGCTTCTGGGTAACTGTTCTTGTTAACTGAAGTGTGTCAACCCAGGATATAGCTTTTGTGCTTAAAAGCTCACCCTGAGAAAGGCTTGGGGCTACACTGGGATCCCAAACACACAGTGTTTAGTCACCAGCCGGCTAATAAAGACTTCTGTTGGCTTAAATTTGTGCCCAAGAACTCTTCTCTGATAGATACCGCACAAGAGTTGGGAGGCCGAGGCAGGTGAATCCCTGTGAGTTTGAGGCCAACCCGGTCTACAGAGCAAGTTCTAGGACAGCCAAGGCTGCACAGAGAAACCCTGTCTTGAGAAACTATTCACAACCATAAGTAACAAGTAACTCCAGTCCAGAGAATCGAGCACCCTTTCTGGCCTCCTTGGACCCCCATGAACACACACTTGACTTACATGCAAAAAAAAAAAAAAAAAAAGAAAAGAAAGAAAAGAAAAGAAAAGAAATATAAGGATACTTCAATCCCATCTTTTGAGAGGCAGAGATAGGCAGATCTGAGTTCAAGGCCAATCAGGTCTACACAGCAATTTGCAAGCTAACCACAGCTACATAATGAGACTTTGTCTGAAAATATTAATAATAAGTCTAACTACTTTAGTTGTTGTTTGAAATAGAATCTCCTGTGGCCCAAACTGACCTTAAACTCACTACATGGTGGAGGTTGGCCCTGAACTCTTGGTCCTCCTGCTTCTACTTCCCAAATACTGAGGTGGCAGGTGTGCCCTACCACACCTGGCTTGAGCAAAGAGAATTTTACCTGTGCAAATCAACTTCTGAAGTATTTCTCTTAACCTATGGGCCATATTCAGGAGCCCCTCACCTACCCTCTGCCACCTAGTATGTACTTCTCATGAGATCTCTAAAAATATCCACTATCAACCACTGTGGTGCAAGGAGAGCTTTCAAAGTAGGGTTGACACCCCATCGCACCCTGCCCCCAACAACAACCACAACATGGGCTCAGCTTAAAATTTGCAGCTCATTAGACTGGCTCATTAAGTAGGATTCCTAACATTCCCTCTTTCCCCTCCCTCCGCACACATTATGTGTGCAATGAAATCAAGAGAAGGAAATCTTATCCCACCAGACTCCCTAAGAAGGTTCAGGGAGCTACTGGCTCCCACACCTGACCTGTTTACAGAAACCCTTTTAGGAGTAGGTGGGGAAAAGGATAGAGACCTGTATGGGGTGGTTAACTTGTTTCTATTTGATGACTATTTCCCATTCTATCCTTAGGCCAAAAATGCAGACAGAGGTCAGCCTAGTTAAAAGAACATACCTGAGCCTGGCAGGGGTGGCATACGCCTTTAATGCCAGCACCAGGAAGGAAAAGGCAGGTGCATCTCTGTGAGTTCGAGGCCAACCTAGTCTACAGAGTGACTTCCAGGACGGCCAAGGGGTACACAGCAAAACCCTGGCTCACCGGGCGGTGGTGGCGCACGCCTTTAATCCCAGCACTCGGGAGGCAGAGGCAGGCGGATCTCTGAGAGTTCAAGGCCAGCCTGGTCTACAAGAGCTAGTTCCAGTCTTGAAAAATCAAACAAAAACAAACAACAACAACCAAAAAAAACCCTGTCTCGAAAAAGCAAAACAACAAAAAATATCCCTGGGGACGGGGAGTGAGTCTACAAGCAATGAGTCCCCATTATAAGCACCACGTCGTTAGTCGTTGGGTGTCACCCGAGAGATCCCAGGGGCTGACAATCTCACCACCCTCCAGAACACCCCTCTATGTAACCCTCCCCTGGATGGGGTCACACAGCTGCCGATTGGCGGCCAAGTGTCGTGTCCGGGATTGGACCTGAAAAAAAATCCCCGGAAAAGAGAAGTCAGAGTAATAAGACGGAAGTGGTCCCATACCGGAAGCCTGGAACACGCAGAGCACGGCTCGCCCGGAGGGTAAAGGGTGGGGCCGGTGCTTGCAAACCCGGATCAGTGGTTACCACCGAATCCGACCCTACTATTTTGGCGAGAAATACTGAGCCGAGATGGCTGCCTTAGCTAGGAACCCACGGTCCATGGCGCCTTGGCTTCGCAGCCTGTTTGCTGTGAGCGTGAAATGGACGTCTGCCCTTTTTAGATATGGCGGCGTTCGTTTCGCGGACGTTTCTGCGCATGTGCACCGACTCAAAAGCTTGGCAATTACCTCAGACTTCCGCCAGAAGACGGTCGTGGCTCTGTTTCTAAAAGTGCACATGCTCTGTGCGGCTCAAAGGGCACGGCTCATTCTAACTCCAGATTGGTCCATGAGCACGTTTGTTCCTTTGCGCATGCGTCCCTGCCTCTGACCCGGAAGTTTTCGCTTCACTTAAAAGCGCCGGCCCGCTGCGCGCGGCCTCTTCCTGTCTGTGCTAGGACGGCGCGTGGTCCACGCCGAGCGACCGAGAAGCCCGGTCTGCACCCTCAGGTGAGGCTGCGAGGGGACTGGAGTTCCAAAAAGATGGCCTTGTGTGTTCTGAGGGACATTTGGGGACCACAGGCGGAACCGAGGCCTGGGCCTTCCCGTTTGGACTTCACCTCTTCCCCCATCGGAAAAGTGCCCAGGAAACTCGGGCGGGCCGGGTTACTTTTCGTCTCCAGTTTGCACAGTATTAACTCCGAACTTTTCGAACCTTTACCACTCGGGGCCCTAGGGGAATCACTTGGATTCTAGGGTTATATAGCAATCCGAAATCTAGTTTCGCGATGATCATTTTGCTCGGTACACATTTTCTTCTCGATAATATCCCCTAGCTTCTCCAAAGAGTCAGGCAAGGATTGAAACATTGGTATTGATTATCCCTCTGGGTTTATACTGTGGCTCTTATTCCTTTATTTTACTGATGGAAGTCTGAAAACAGTTCGTTGCTTTATAAATGTACGGGATAGGTGCCGATATCTGCATGGCTTCTTGAGCTATCCTACTGGGTTCCGTGTGCCAGCTGTTAGGCATGGTGACTGGGACTTAACCCTTGGATTCCGGAGTAAAGAGCAGGCTCTTCCTACAGCTCTGGTTTTCCTAGGTTTGGAGAGATGGTCAAAGCTTTCTGGGTCCCCTTTTAACTTCTCGGTTTTCCACAAAGTGGGGGAAATGTGACTGTTCTAGGAAGGCTGAGCAATAACGGTTTCTTGTCATCCTGTCCCCAGAATGACTGAGTGGGAGACAGCCACACCTGCCGTGGCAGAGACCCCAGACATCAAGCTCTTCGGAAAATGGAGCACTGATGATGTGCAAATCAACGATATTTCTCTGCAGGTAAAGGAACTCGGTGGTCTTGGCTTTGGATTGGGAGCAGATGTGGAGTCTTCCAGGTCAGAAAAAGACATGACACCTAGGTTGAAATCAGTTTGTGTTTACAATTAGGTAGAAGAACAATAAGTGGACGGCCACATCTATGCCTTATTACAACCTGTACCACCATTTGTCACAATGTGTTGCAGTTTTTTTTTTTTTATTATTTCTGAGTCCATTGGCTTTGAGACAGGATCTCAGGTATGTGACCCTGGCTGGCTTGGAACTCTTAAAGATCCTCTTGCCTCTTCCCCAAGTGCTGTGACTAAAGGCATATGTTACTACATCTGGCTTGTTATCATTTTGCATTCATATATTCAGTTGGCAGGTATCCTCTGTTGAAGAGACCGCTTTAGCCAACTGAGCAATGTTGGCATCCTTGTCAAAGTCAGTTGGTTAGCTGGGCGTGGTGGTGCATACCTGTATTGCTGCACACAGGCTGCGGCAAAAGGATTTGAAGTGCCAGGCCAGTTGGAGCTCCATAGTGAGGAGTCCCCTACTCTCCCCTCCCCCAAAATGTCAGTTGTCTTACGGGGGGGTGTGTACTGTTGAGTGGCTGTGCTGTATGGCCTTTGCACTCATGCCTCTTTTGAGACAGTCTCATTGTTCAGGCTGGCCTGAAAGCCCTCATCTAGTGGAAAGAGCTGGTGATCTCCTGCATTCTGCCTACATGCGGGGCGGGGATTTAAGGCATATATCACCACACCAAGTTTTACACACTGCTGGAAATTGAACCCAGAGTTTTGTACGTACAAGACAAGCCCTCTACTGGCTTCAGCTACATCCTTAGGCCCAGTTGTCCCTTTTGTTCAAAGAAATTAAAATGTTTGTTAACTTCTAAAGATGCCACAGAATGAGCCTGTGTGGTGGCTCTACTTGTAAAGACAGTTACTACTAAGCCTGACAATATAGATTAAACCCTTGGACTCCACAGGCAGGAGGAGAGAACTGACAGCTGTAAATTGTCCTTCAGCTTTCACAATCACAGCATAAACTAAATAAAGGAGAAACGTAAAGTGTATTCAGGCTTGTTGGCGGGTCTTTGTGAGTTGGTTTGGGGAGGTCTGCAATCTTAACTTTTGCTATGTTGTTGGGGATTGAACTCCGGGGGTTCACATGCTGGTCCAACTACCACCTAAATGCAACGTATGCCTACCCAGGAAGTGCTTAGGTAAGAGGTAAGACTGTAAGTGTATTTTGATTCACAGGTCACACTGAATCTCTTTTTTTTCTTATTTTGAAAGAGACACAGCCTTACTATGTAGGTGTAGCCTGGAATTGCGCCATGTGGCCCAGAATAATCTACCAAGTGCTGATAGCTGTCAAGTGTCCTATAGTGCACAGGACAGACAGCCTTCCCCCCTCACTGAGGATTGTTTGCTCCAAAGTATCAAAATTAGCTTAAGCCGGTGGTACATGTCTTTAAAGCCCAACGCTCAGGAGATCTCTGCGTTTGAGACCAGCTTGAACTGCATAGTGGATTTCAGGCCAGCCAGGGCTACACAGACTATATCCAAAAAGGAGGGGTGGGGTGCTTTTATTTGTTTTGGGTAAAATGTCCATAAATGATTCTGTTTTCTGTGTCTTAGTATTTTGTCTGCATGTGTGTTTGTGAGGGAGTCAGAACTGGAGTTAGTTGTGAGCTGTCGTGTATGCTGAGAATTGAACCTGGGTCTTAGAAGAGCAGCCAATACTCTTAAATGCTGAGACATCTCTCCAGCCTCCATAGTGTACTTGTACAAAACTAAAATCAAATTCCTTTCATATTAAAAGAAATTCTCTTTCTCTCTCTTTCTCTCTTTTGGAGGCAAGGCTCACTGTGTAAGAAGCTGGTTTTGAGCTGCTAGGGATCCTCTTGGCTCCTGAGTGTTGGGATATAGAGGTGTGTGCGCAGCCGGGCAGCACTCTTCCGTGTGTGTGTGTGTGTGTGTGTGTGTGTGTGTGTGTGTGTGACCTGTTTGGTTCTGTTTCTCAAGGCTCACATTCCCAACCTGCTGGTGGCATGCCATGAGCCACTTCTCAGTCTCCTTTGATGCCTACCTGGGGGCTGGTCCCACCGCTGACTCTCCCTTCATCCTTACTTTGCCACCCAGGATTACATTGCTGTGAAGGAGAAGTATGCCAAGTACCTGCCCCACAGTGCGGGACGGTATGCTGCCAAGCGCTTCCGCAAAGCCCAGTGCCCCATTGTGGAGCGCCTCACTAACTCCATGATGATGCACGGCCGCAACAACGGCAAGAAGCTTATGACTGTACGAATTGTCAAGCATGCCTTTGAGATCATCCACCTGCTCACTGGTGAGGTAAGACTGCCCTTGATTCATGCAAAACTTCATGGTACACATGCCAGATTCATCACCTGTGACACTGCCACCTTGTTTTGGGGGAAGTTGGGGATGAATGGCAGACTCATGGCCCACTTTTCTGCCAGAACCCTCTGCAGGTCCTGGTGAATGCCATCATCAACAGTGGCCCCCGGGAAGACTCAACACGCATTGGGCGAGCCGGAACAGTGAGACGGCAGGCTGTGGATGTGTCGCCACTGCGCAGAGTGAATCAGGTGTGTCAGGCTTGTGGAGGGCTGGGGCAGGAACCACCAGCATGAGTGGGTGGAGTTCTCTCTTGCATGTTTTACCCAGAGCCTCACTTCCTCCAGGAAACATTCCTGGATTTCTGCCTTGTAATGGGGCAGGTAGAGCCCCAGCCTTCCTAGGTTTAGGTTTGGGGTGTTGTTGTGTTTTTTTATATATATATAAAACCTTGATCCATTTATGAGCCTGTTGAGTGGTGGCACATTTCTGTAGTTGTAGCTACTTGAGAGGACAAGATGGATTGCTTGATGCCTGAGCACCATGAAGTCAAGAGCACCTCACACTTTGCTGCTAGTTCTTAAGCCTTTTAGTAAGGGCCATGTTTTCTTTGCCCTCTGTGATCAGCATCTGGTAGAATGTCCGCTCCCTTGTATCTCATATCTGGGTGACAGCATATAGTGAAAGGCTGGTATCTGTAGAACTGGGTCCCAGATCACTGGGAGGACCGGAACCCTTTTGTGATCTGAGCCCTGTCTGTCTTCTAGGCCATCTGGCTGCTGTGCACAGGAGCTCGTGAGGCTGCTTTCCGGAACATCAAAACCATTGCTGAGTGCCTTGCAGATGAGCTCATCAATGCTGCCAAGGTGGGCACACAGGGTGGGTTGGACATCTGGGTGTTTATCCAGCATTCAGAGCTAATCACCTGTCCTTTGCAGGGCTCCTCCAACTCCTATGCCATCAAGAAGAAAGATGAACTGGAGCGTGTGGCCAAGTCTAACCGCTGATTTCCCAGCTGCTGCCTAATAAACTGTGCCCTTTGGGAAAGTTTCACCTGCCTGTGTGCTTGTCTGTCATTGAGGGGGTAGGGTAGGTGGCCTCCCATGGCCATAAGGGATGCTCGCCTTCCTGATAATGGTGTTTACCTGTGGAAATCGGATTTCCCTGGCACCACTCAGGACTACTGCTGGTCACAGTGTAAGCCCAGTGCTGAAACGACCCAGCAAGTACTGAGGGTGCATGGGGCCCATTGCTCCTACCTGACAGGTGTTAGTTCGTTAGTTTGATGGGGAAAGGCTGGGGTGCTCAGATCAAGAATGTGTGCACACCATTTTGAGGTTGTGTTTCAGATAATCCATGTGTCTGGTCAAGGTATGGTGGGTCTATTTGCTCACTCCCTTAGCATCATTTATGTACGGGCTTCTCATATCTCCGGTAGCCCAACTGGAGCATTGGCAGAGAGGCCTGTGGCCTTCGACCATGAACTTCCAGCCACCCCAGCATCCCATATAGATCAGACTTGGTGTTCATCCTAGTAGGAGGAGCCTGGGGGTGGGGTGAGCAGCCAGACGGGTTAGGCTGGTACGTGGGAACCTGAAGAGGGCTGGCCCAAGGTCATGTGGCCTCCAGGGAGGGGCATTTGACAAGCTACTAGCAGACAAGCCAGAATTGGGGTCAGAACAGGAGGGACTTGCTAGGATACTCAACAGGGACGGGCATCAACAGGTAGGTGTCCTGTAGACTGGCCAGTCATTTCAGTGGGGTTTGGTCTCACTCTGGGTTTCTTACTGCTCTGGAATCTGGTGGTCTTCAACCTTAGTGTTGAGACCCTTTAATTTTGCTACTGTTAGGAGTTGTAAGTCTTCCTGTGGTCTTTGGTAACCCTTGTTAATGGCATGTGACCCACAGGTTGAGAACCACTGTCCTGGAGTCATACATTGTTTCCTGTAGTATTTTGGTTTGGTGTTGCATCTCCCCTAAGGACATGGCTCCTCCAGAACATTAAAACTGCTTTAGTTGGTTAAGCTAGTTTGTCTCTAGACTTTTGGGGACAGTGGATTCCACCAAGGACTCTTGTCTCCTAGAACCTACTCTTACAACTTTATTATCCCTGCTCTTCCCTGAAATCTTGTCGGCCCGCCTCAGCCTCCAGGTACAATCTGGATGCCTTGTCCTCGGCCGCCCTGGCTCCGCCGCCACCGAACCTCCCAGGGCTCGAGCCCAGGTTCCCCAGGTACCGTGTCTGCACCCACGACCCCTAGCAGAGGTGAAGAAGAGGACGCAGAAGAGGAGGGCGATGGCACCCCAGCCGACAGCCCCATCCTGCCCCCCGCGTCTCCCATGGAATGCCTTATCTGCGTGTCGCCCTTCGATGGAATTTTCAAACTGCCAAAACGCCTGGACTGCGGTCACGTCTTCTGTCTTGAGTGCCTGGCACGCCTGTCGCTGGCTACGGCGGGTGGCGGAGATGCAGTGGCTTGCCCTATGTGCCGTGCGCCCACACGCTTGGCCCCGCGCCGGGGGCTTCCCGCTCTACCCACACAGCCAGGTCTGCTGCCTCGCGACGCACGCGCGCCACCACCACGCCAAGGCTCCGTGCGCTTCGATCGCCGCCGTGGGCTCCTGTACCTGCGGCCACCGCCGCCTTCTCCTGGGCCACGCAAGAGCCGCACAGTGCGTGCCCCACCGCCTCCACCCCCACTGCGCCTTGGCCGCCCGCTGTCTCGTCGCCTGTCCCTGAGCAGCCCCACATGGGCCTTCAACGCGGCAGTGGCGCTGGCCGTGCTGGTGGCTGCAGGCCTCGTTGTCTCTGGTGTCTACATCTTCTTCCTCATCCCTCATGTCACCACCTCCGGCCTTGCACGGCCTCAGGTCGTAGCTCTGGGCCCTGATCCTAGCTTCTGGCAACCACCACGGCCCACACCAATAACACCCTGGACCCACATCTGGATACCGCGCCCCACAAAGCCTGACCTGGACCTGGATGATACCCTGCCAGAGGCTACCAAGGACACGCCAGAGCTTGAGGAAGCTGCCAAGGAACCAGTAGAGTCGCAGGGGACCCTGGATACACCTCCTACACCACCTCATCAAACTCCGAAGACAGAGACTGACCTTGGCTGGAACCTGCAGGCACGGGATGATGGGAAAATGGTGTAACTACAGTAATAAATGCCTCAGTGCTACAGGCCCGGTCTCCCTCCCTGAAGATATCTGTGTCATCCTGGAGGGCATTAACAGAATACATTTCTCCAGATTGGGGACTGGAAAGACACGAATTCTCTCAAACTACTGTAATCGTTCTACAAGAATCCTCTGAGAATGTCTCTTTCCCATGGCCATCTAACTGAAGGTACCCTGGTCAATGACGACTACTTATGAACCATATGCCTGTGTAGGTCTAGTTGGGGTACCCCTGATTCTCATCTCTGTGGAAGTCCAGGTGGCCTCTCCCCTAATGACATCTATACAGGGCTGTGAAGGTACCTTAGCCTTCACCTTGACAGGATGCCGTTAGAAGCACTTCATCATCTCCTCAGCCCGCTGAGGGAGAGAGACATTCCTGGTCAGCTCTGGGGATGAAGGATCTGGCCCACTCATGCTTTGGACTCACCACAGTGGGGTTGGGGCTCCCATCTTTGGAATACAAAACTGTTTACTGTTCTGATTATGCATCTTGCTGCCCACAGTCAGTCTGTAAATTTCAGTGCCTGCGCACCTGATCAGGACTGTGACTTGAAGGGACAGGGGTGGCCTGGCTAGGGTTAGAGATGGCTGTGACTTCTGAAAACTGGTTCCCATTTGGAAAGTAAAACCCAAACTGGTCTGGGAGTCTCGATGTCTCCCCCAGACTTTGGTTTCTGGGACCTACTCAATACCTTGTGGAATAGTTGTGGTCATCATGACTTGGAGAGCCAAGGCCTCCCTGTGGCTCAGACAGAAACATTCAAAGCAGGAGGTCCTGGTCCTCCCTAGATAATATGAGAGATGCTGGTCCTGTCCTCGCTTGAACCCTTTTATCCCCCATTTTTTCCCTTCTCTGGGGCTCCACCAGCTCTGCCCAGGCTTCCCTCTGTGCCTCAGCTGAAGTCGAAGCCTTTCCGGTGTCTATGGAAGGTGGCTCCTTGTCTTCCAAAAGACTTCTTGGCTTAGACACAGAGTAGAAGGAAGGCAACTCTTCTCTGCATAGGCTGACCACAGACCTCTGAAACCCCATGGCCTGCTTTTCATCACCTGGCATGAGACGATGTGTGTTAAGGGTGAGCAGCATTTTCCAGAATGAAATGTGACTTCTGTGTATCTGGAGGCCTCTGTGTGGTTTATTTACATGTGTGTCCTCAGCACCAGGCATCGGCTGATAAAGAATGCTTGCCCAGGGAAGTGACAACATCAGGGATGACCAAGAGGCAGCCTGGGAATGCCCATGGGCACCATAGGCTTGCAAGCTCACAGCTGACAGGGGCCCTAGCATGTCTGTGGGAGCAACTCAGCAGCTGCTTCCAGGTAGGAAGCCAGAGGAAGAACATCAGGGAACCTGAGGGTGTGTCTTCCCAGACCAGTTCTTGGCTCACACCTGGTGCCAACGTCACCCACAGGGACTGGGATCAATGCAGTGGGTCACTGAGAACCACTGCCCAGCTTTACGGGCTGGTCCAGTGGGGGTAGAGTGGCTGTTCTGCTTTAGTTTCCTCTGGCTACTGTAAAACTTACCCCTAACACCATGTCTTAGAACCATACACATTACCTCATATTTCTGCGTCCAGAAACCTAAGACCTTGTCATGGGGCTAAAACTGAAGTGCCAAACGAAGTGTGGCGGCACAGAACTATAATCCCAGCTATGCAGGGAGTTTGAGGACAGCCCAGTTATGTGAGATTCTGTCGCAAAATAAAAATTAATAATCAATCAATAAACTTAGGGAGCTGACAGTTCCAGGTCCTTCTGAAGACTCTGAATCTATTTCCTTAGATTTCTAGCTATTAGGATTGCCTTCCTTGGCTTGTGGTTTCCTCAAAGTCAACAATACAACATCTATAAATTTCTCTGACCCTCTAGCTATCTTCTTTCACTTATCAGGATATTAGGAGCAAGTAGGGGGGTGGTCCTGGAACTCTCACTCTATAGACCAGGTTGGCCTCGAATTCACAGAAATCCACCTGCCTATGCCTCCCAAGTGCTGGAGTTAAAGGCATGCACCACCACCACCCATCCTGAATCTTAAAAAATTGTTATTATTGATTTATGTGTATGTGTCTGTATGTGCCCAAGAAGGTGAGAGAAGGTAGAGTTCCAGGCAGTTATGAGCTGCCTGATGTGGGTGCTGGGAATGGAACTTGGGTCCTCTGCAAGAACAACATGTGCTCTTAAGCACTGAACCATTTCTCCAGCCTCTGAAAAAATATATATTTTAGAGACAGGGTTTCTCTGTGTAACCCTGGTTATTCTAGAACTCTGTAGCCCAGGCTGACCTTGAGATACACCTGCTTCTGCCTTACAAGTGCTGGGATTAAAGGCATGCACTACCACCGCCCAGCTTCTGAATTTTATTTTCTTTTTCTTTTTTTTTTAATTTATTTTTTATGTACGTTGGTGTTTTGCCATGAGTGTTGGGTCTCCTGGAAGTAGAATTACAGACAGTTGTGAGCTGCCATGTGGTGGCTGGGAATTGAACCCGGGTCCTCTGGAAGAGCAGTCAGTGCTCTTAACCACTGAGCCATCTCCCCAGCCCCCCCCCTTTTTTTATTTTTTTATGATTTATTTATCTTTTTATTTTTATGTGCATTGGTGTGAAGGTGTCAGATCCCCTGGAACTGGATTTTCAGAGAGTTGTGAGCTGCCATGTGGGTGCTGGGAATTGAACCCGGGTCCTCTGGAAGAGCAGCCAGTGCTCTTAACCTCTGAGCCATTTCTCCAGTCCCCTAAATTTTATTTTTAAAGACAGTTTTTCATTTAGTTTTCCAGGCTGGCCTTGTTGAACTTGAAGCCCTTCCCTTCCTGCCTCAGCCGTTTGAGCAGCTGGGGTTACAGGCCTGTGCCTCCAGTCACAGCCTCCCATTTTTAGATCCTTCATCACAGACTCAAAGTCTCTTCTGCCACATAAGGTATAGGCCAGGGATTAAGATGTGAATGTTTTTGGAAACCGCTATTCAACCCACTGAGTGGGGAATGGGGTCTCAGAGATAGGCTGCCCTCAGCCCTTCCTTCCTCCATCCCAACCTGGGTGAGTAGGGGTAAGCAAGAGTAGACTTGGTTCGGATGTGTCGGAAGGGAGTCTTTGGATGGCAATACACAGGGGAGGGGGAGAAAAATCTCAGCCTGATGGTGGTCCGTGAAAGCTGCCTTAACGAAGAGACCCAGGGCTGGCTCAGAGATGGTTCAGCAGTTAAGAGTACTGGCTGCTCTTCTAGAAGTCCCGAGTTCAATTTCCACCAACAACATGGTGGCTCACAATGATTATTGTAGGATCTGATGCCCTCTTGTGGCGTGCAGGCAAATATATGGACAGAGTACTCATACAACAAATACATAAAAATCTTATTTTTTTTTTTTAAAGAAAGAGACCCAACAGGTGGATCTGCATTTGCGTTTGGAGTAGCCTATGCAAAGGCAAGTGGACAATGTGAAAGGTGGTAGAAGCTGAGGGCCCTTCATTTCCAGTCCTAATACTGCCCCTTAAATGCTACTGCAGCATCTTCACCCATGTTCATCCCAGAGCTGGAAACCTGCGGTCGTCTCTCCTCCGCCAAGAGGAGGCAGGTGTCAAAACCCAGAGGTTGCCCAGCATCTGCTAATGACTATCTTGGTGCTTCCCTACCTACTACTGCCTACAAGGGGCTTCAAGAAACCTCACAGTAAGCCAAGCAAGGTGTCCAATGCCTTTAATCAGGAGACAGAGGCAGAGGAAGGTGAGTTCAAAGGTTCAAAGTCAGCCTAGTCTACACAGAGAGTTCCCAGGATAGCCAGGAGTACATAGAGAACTTGTCTCCAAAAAAAATAATAAATAAATAAAAAGGAAGGAAGGAAGTCCACAGAATAGAATAATGGAATTTAATTCTCTTCTAATAAGTCCCAACCCATCTCCTTTAAATATATATATATTCAATATATATTTATGATTATTGTGTGTGTGTGTGCATGCGTGTGTGTCATGGCATATATGTGGAGGTCATAAACCAACTTGCAGGGCTGGAGAGATGGCTCAGCGGTTAAGAGCATTGCCTGCACTTCCAAAGGTCCTGAGTTCAATTCCCAGCAACCACATGGTGACTCACAACCATCTGTAATGAGATCTGGTGCCCTCTTCTGTACTAAGAATACTGTATACCTAATAAATAAATAATTTCTTTAAAAAAAATAAAAAAAATAAACCAACTTGCAAGAGTCATTTTCCCTTTCTACCATGTGAGTTCTAAGGACTGAATTTAGGCCACAGCTTTTACCCACTGAGCCATGGCACCAGCCTAGTCCTTCTCCTGAACTCTGGACCTCTGTCACCCACACCGTGCTGGCAGATACCCACTCTCACCCATGACACTTCATTCCAGAATTGTTTCTCCTCCTAGGTCACAGTGCCTTGAATCTCAGAAGGTGGGAGAAACTTCAGTGTGTCCCAAGTATGCCCTTGGCTCTTCTATAAAATGGATGACAAAAAGACACTTGCAGGGAATTCATTCACCTATGGGTATTTATTGAGCTTTTAGTGTACCAGAGGCAGCATAAGGACATCTTGGGAACAAGGCCAGACCTCAGGAGGCAGAAGAGAGGTCTAAACAGACACATCTAGCATGCTGACCACAGTGTCTCAAGGTTTTTCTTTTGTTTTGTTTTTGTTTTCTGCCTTCCAAGTGCTGGGATAAAAGGCATTATGTCTGGCCAATGCCTCACCTATTACGATCATGGGGTCCCCAGTTCCCAAGACCTCTCCCAAGCTCTGTCACCAGTTCTCTTCTCCTGGAGTCAGGGGAGGGACACAAGGGGCTCCACTCTACCAGGTGGTTCCAGACTTTCTCAAGGACGGTCATAAAGATCCCCTGCTATCGTATGGGTCCTCTTGTGGTTAAGGCTAAGATAGGGCCTCGCTGAACCTTTAGGAACTCAAAACTGGCATTGCTTTGCGATGTTGGACACCACTGAGGAACTAGGCATTTATTCCTCACTATAATAATAATAATGCAGGCTCGCTAAACCTGATGACCAATCAGGAACTTGGGAGCAGTGTTGCCATGACAACCCGGAGATCCTCGATGGCTGGTTCCTGGATTTGTGGGGTCTAAGGTTTCCAGACCCCAGAAGAAGCAGAGGTGAACAACAGGTCAAAACGCTAAAGTCATCATGTGCTTGTTCAGCCTTCTCTGGTCTCGAGGTGGAGGGCTGATGCATTGGAGCAGTTTGTTTGAACGTGGAACAAGTCTAACATTTTTGAGACTCAGTGACCGGACCATGCGTACATTTCTTTTTTTTTTTTTAAAGATTTATTTATTTATTATGTATACAGTGTTCTGCTGTCTGTATGCTTGCTGGCCAGAAGAGGGCACCAGATCTCATTATAGATGGCCGTGAGCCACCATGTGGTTGCTGGGAATTGAACTCAGGACCTCTGGAAGAGCAGTCAGTGCTCTTAACCTCTGAGCCATCTCTCCAGTCCCCCATGCGTACATTTCAATGCCAGGATCTATCGTGCAGACTGGGTTACTCACTGCACCTGCCACCTGAGTCATCAGGTCACTGAAGTCAGCTGGGTCCTGTGTAGCACTGTCCAGTAAAGGGTTAACTTAGCAGGCCTGGATTGCTCAAACCCTGCACATTCCAGAGAGATCTCGCCCTACCTTCCCATGATTCCGGGAGATCATCTCAAAGCCTTGGAATAGCCTGCCTCCTAAGTCTTTTGTACCTGATAGTCTAGTCTGGGCCGGCAATGTTATTTACGGCATGAGCCTTGGCCGCAGTATCAAATTGATCTCTAGGGCAGCTGGAGATTAAGTGCATTGAGGGAGGGGCTGCTAGATATTTCTGTTATTGTTTTCCAGGAGAAAACCCTACATGTGGCCAAGACTAGAGTGAGGGCCCCTCGAGGGCAGCTGTGGTGTAAACGTTTCCTGAAAAAAAGAAAAAAAAGTCTCTTCACTCCAGATAGAGCACCCATGAGAGTCCAGTAAAATTATTCCAGGGCTCTCAATATGTCTCAGCACGAAAAGCCAGTTGATGCCAAGCCTGGTGACCCGTGTTCAAACCCTGGAAACACATGATGGGAATTATTTTCTTCCAGGCAGCACCCTGGATTCAAGATTATTTATTTTTACTTTTCATTGGAGATTTATTTTAAGTGTGTGTGTGTGTGTGTGTGTGTGTGTGTGTGTGTGTGTGTGTGTGTAAGAAAAAGGCAGATCTCTGAGTTCATGGATAGCCTGGTCTACAGAACCAGTTCCAGGACAGCCAAACTACAAAGAAAAACCAACCAACAACAGGTGGTGGTGGTACACGCCTTTAATCCCAGCACTTGGGAGGCAGAGGCAGGCAGATCTCTGTGAGTTCAAGGCTAGCCTGGTCTACAAGAGCTAGTTCCAGGTCAGGCTCCAAAGCTACAGCGAAACCCTGTCTTGAAAAACAAAAACAAGAACACTGAATGTTCTTCCAGAGGACTCGTTGGTTCTCAGCACCTAAGATGGTGGCTTACAATTGCCTGTAACTCCAGTCCTGCAACCCACTCTTCTGGCCTCCGTAGGCACCCATAAAAAAAGAGGCACCAAATAGTAACTAGACTCAGAGATTCCTCTCCTTGAAGTCTAAGTGGCATAAGAATATGTACAGGGTGGGGCTCAACAGTTAAGGGCACAGACTGTTCTCCCAAAAGACCTGGGTTCAAATCCACCCACATGGCAGCTAACAACTGTCTGTAACTCCAAGATCTGACACTCTCACACAGACTTACCTGTGGGCAAAACACAAATGCAAATAAATAAAAGTAAATACATCTTTAAAAAAGAATTTGTAGCTAGGCAGTTGGTGGTGGCGCAGCACTTGGGAGGAAGAGGCAGGAGAATCTCTATGAGCTCGAGGCCAGCAGCCTGGTCTACAAGAGCTAGTTCCAGGACAGGCTCT